TGTCCCCCATCCCCCTGGTCTGCAGACCAGAGGGACGGGGGGGCAAAGCAGAGCCAAGCCTCGGAGCGCGTGGGCAGCGGACAGCCCTGTCTGCTGCCCACGTGTTCCGCCGCTTTACTTCCTCTCCCTGGTCTGCTGGAGACCAGGGAGAGGAACGGCCCCGTTCGTAACTGCGGATCCGACATAAGTCGGATCCGCGTAACTCGGGGACTGCCTGTATCACAACCTCTCTATGGCCTCCATTCAGCCTCTCCAAAGCCACTGCAGCACCTGTGATCACAGCTGGGGGGAAGGAGTGCATGTCCCCCAGCTGGGGTAGGTCCAGGTTTGTCTGCCCCCTGCACTTCCCAGCCAGAGTGAGGAATGAAGCAAACTGCACACTTTCCCCTCATTCCCTGATGAAAGGAACAGACAGTGATATTTCCGTATACATTGGGAGAGCTTCAGCTATCCCCCTGCTCCCTAAAGGGCGCTTATAGGGATGGGAGGCTCAGGGCTGCGGCAGTCTGGCAGGGGCATCTCCACTCAGTCTCTTTCACTTGCCTGGTGATCCTATCTCTTTTCTGTGTGGGTATATGAGAAACAATCCTATTCCAGACACATCCCATTGTCCTGATCTTGCTTTAAGTTATGATAAGAGGAGGCTGTATACAAAATTTTGTGGTCCTCATTCTTACTATTCAAGAGGAGGTCTTATATAGTAAGGTGAATCTATCCACTAATCTATTTGAATAAGATTGAATAGTATAATCTCTCATGAGATATAGTTTGCAGGTGTGTTTCTAACTCTTTATATGTTGTTTGTTTGTTTTTATCTACTGACACAGGAGAAGAAAACTTGCTGGCAATTTTGAAACGGAGATGGTGGAAGTACATGATCCTGGGAATAATAGATATAGAAGCCAATTACCTGGTAGTCAAAGCTTACCAATATACCACTCTTACTAGTGTACAGGTAAGGGCTCAGATGGCTTCCTCTGTCAGGGTTTCATTCTGCACCACATCAGGTGTAGAGCTCCCATTCACTTCAACAAAGCAGGCTCAAGAACTGAGTTCCTTCTTTGACTTCCTCTTTCTGATATTTCATACTCATAAAATGATGTCTCTTGTTTTCATCTTTTGCTATCTTTAATGTTGGCTATTTTACAAGCTGTGGAAAATTAAAATGTTGTATAAATTACACATTCTTGCATGTTTGGGCCTAAGCTTCTTGGCTTGGTCTTTCAATAGTAGATTGTAAAGGGTAAATACACATTTGTGTAGACTCAGTTTCCAGTTGGAAAATTACAAGCACATATTTTGCTGCTGCCAATCAAGCAGTCATGTCCATATCTTTCAGGCACTGTTTTCCCTCTCCAAAAATCACCCAAAACACCCAAAACAAAAAGACACAATCCTTTCCCCGACAGCAATTGGAACAGTCTTGTTTAAAAAGGGAACCTGTGCATTTTAAAGATTTAGAGGGTTTTTTCCATTTTACTGGACGAAGTAAGGCATTCATAATGGAAAATATGTATCTCTGGACATGGCTCCACAAATGATGTTGATCATTCAGAAATAAACATATTTTTACTCCATATGATTTCTAAATACCATGGCACCCCTAGATATTTTGACCTTATTTATACCTGAAACTTGCTATGAAGAGTGTAAAATAAGTAAGCATCAGTTAATGTCCTGAAAAAACAGAGATAATTAAGAACAGAACCTATGTCTTCCATGGCTAAACGAGCTGAATTGAGGGGAACTAAATAGTGCCTGAAAAAGAAGCAAGAAGGGGGGAAATTTCACAGTTTTAAGGATCACATCCAACATTTGAAATCAGTGTGAGCAACTACAAGTGCATCTGCTGCCAGAATTCGGCTGTCAGATTTATTTGAAGCACAAATACATATTTAAAATTACCTCTGGCACTTTTTCAGAATAAATTACTGGGAACGTAATAACAATTGCCAGCAACACCCTCCCCCCCTCTCCACACACACACACAACACACACAAATATCTGTTAATTTTATGCCTAGTGGAATGAGAAAAATCTATCATAATAAAACCAATACTAGTACTTTTGTCTAGATCTCCCTGGGCAATGTGCTACACTACTTGTATGGATGGGCGCACAACCACATGTACCTGGTCTCTACGGGTCTTTTTTATCTGTCTACTAGAAGACTTACATGGTATTTCCTGGTTTTTTCAGGGCAGCGGGCTGGTGGTGTGAGGAGTGCAGGAGTCAGAGCAGGGCCTTCAGATTGTAGGGGAGGCAGTAGTCAGGGCAGGAGGCCAGAGATGTGGGAGTGCAGGAGTCAGGGGGGGGGTTGAGGAGGGGCTCTGGTCAGGGGCTGGGGACATGGGGACGTGCAAGAGTGAAGATTGAGGAGTGAGAAGGGAGTCAGAGTAGGAGATCCCATCTGGCAGGGCTCTCACACACACACAGACACCCTTCCCCCCCGACAGGG